CTCATATATTAAAGAAAGTTTGCTTAACAGGTTCTTTCTTGATTTTCTCTTGTCTATTTAAGTTTATTTAATTTGAATCTTTTTCCGCTACATGTCCTGTTTTACTTCTGTTATTAAATATTTATAATCTTGAATCTGTTTGGTTTAGATACGTTGGGTTATAATTTTTTAATTAACCTTAAGAGTTTACTGTTTTGAACTCTTCATTAGACATGCAATCTCTTTATGTTAAATTTAAGTGTTAGTGGAGTAACTTGTGATTGTTCTCCTGCTGGTTTTGCTAGCACTTTGTGGTTGAATTTCATCATCTCCTTTACAGACCCTTATTTTGGTCTTTGTTTGTTGTTTAGATTATGTATCATAACAACAATTTGATATTGATCTGTAAATTTGAACAATCGTGTACTAGTATTGAGAATGGTTCCCATATGTTTATTCACGTTATCCTCATCAATTTCTTATCATAATTTGTCACCAAAGTTTCTATCATTTAGCCTATCCTTACAAGGTTTAAATTTCCATCATTCATGAGATTAGGCACATGTACACTGATTTTTCCAAAATAATTCCATCATTTATAGCCTTACTCATTGATCTCAAAACGAGAAAATTAAACAATTTATAAACATTCGTAGCTTGCTTTAGGCACGATTAAATAAATTATCGTGACTATGGGTATGACTTCTGTGGTATGATCATGATGCGTAAATCCCAATTCGAGTGTGCGTTTCACGTGACTCGACCTTACAACTTCAAACAATTAAAATTAACATGTTGTAAATTGCGGGTGCGTTTCACGTGACGCGATTTGCAATATGTACCAAAACAACAAGTGCGCGACATCGTGACTTATTCAAAATAATTCCATAAATAACTAAAAGCGGTTAAAAAAATAACTAAAAGCGGTTAAAAAGTAAAAAAAAAATGCACAATAGGTTTCAAATATCTATTAAATCAAATAACTAGGCAAATTATTAATAGTTGAGCGTCCGTGCTAAAACCACTAAACTCGGGAGTGCCTCACACTTTCTCCCGGGTTAACAAAATTTCTTACCCTGTCTTCTATGTTCGCAGACCATAAATAAGAGTCAATTTCCTCGATTTGGGATCTAAAATAAACCGGTGACTTGGGACACCATAAATTATTCCAAGTGGCGACTCTGAATAAATAAATAATCTCATTTCGATTAATTTCGATTAGTGTCACTTTAATTGGAAAAACTCTTTATCCCCTCGGGAAAAAGGAGGTGTGACAGTTCTGGCGACTCTGTTGGGGAAAAGAACCCAGAATCTCTGGTTCAGGGTTCAGAATTCGGGCTTAGAATGACTGTTATACTTGGCTTTTGTTTATTATATGATTTTTATGTATTTGAGCCTAACGTGCTAAATACCGCTTTTTACCGCTTTGATATTATTTGAATTGTATATAAAACTGTTGCGAAACCTTTCTTCTCTCTGGGTCTTCTAAATCTTCTAGGAAGTGCGCGCTGGCGTGACTTCTTTTCTGTTAGTGTCATACTCTAATTTAAAACGAGGATCAGATCAGTTACAAAGCCGAATGGCCTTTTGGTTACCGGTACGTTGCTCTCCCCGCCCCCTCGGCTCGAGTTGTCCGCTCGGATAAGCCAGGTCTAGAACAATACACCGAGGATTCAAACTTAGAATGACATAGCCTCATGCCGGATCCCTAGTAGGCACGTTTGTTTGCATCACGTGTATTTGAATTTGGGGACTCAACACATGGGTTGGGTCCGTCTAGGACAGGTGTACCCAATTTAAAAGACTATCCCGATGCATTTTACGTGCTATTTGTGCATTTATTTATTTCGGCTTGAATGTTGACCGGTTTCTAGAATAAGAAAAGAAAAAAAAAAACAAGAGTGAGAGGTAAGTATTTGTAATCCGAAACTCTACCGAAATTTTAAAAAAAAGAAAGAAAGAAAATAAGCAAATATTTTCAGAAAAATCATGTTCCCCATGTTCCGTCAAAACTGCCGAATTACACGGGTCTGATTCTCACCAGATGTGAGATACGTAAGCAAACCTCATCGGTTCTGACCCCAAATTTTAAAAATTCAAAAATATTTTCTTTTAATTTCTTCTTTAGAAGTCTTTCCTTAGAAAATTCCAAATAAAAAAAAATTTTAAAACCAAAAATATTTTCTTTCTTTTTAGAAGTCTTTCATTCGAAAAAGAAAATCAAATCAAAATCCAAAAATCTTTTTTTTCTTCTTTAGAAGTCTTTCCTTAGAAAATTCCAAATAAAAAAAAATTTTAAAACCAAAAATATTTTCTTTCTTTTTAGAAGTCTTTCATTCGAAAAAGAAAATCAAATCAAAATCCAAAAATCTTTTTTTTCTTCTTTAGAAGTCTTTCTCCAAAAAAAATAAAATAAAAAATGAAACTCAAAGAAAAATATTTTCTTTCTTCTTTAGAAGTCTTTCTTTTCAAATCTGGTCGAATCTTTTCTCTGGTCATGTATCTCTCTTTTCTTGCAGATCCAGTTGGATCGGCCGGATCTAGAGTCAGATTTAAAGTCAAACTCAAGGATTTTAGAAGGAAAATAACATCTATTATGAGCACGTAAGTTTTGCCTGCACAAAACTACTCCTAAAATGCCAAATACATAGCTTTTGAATTATTTTGTTTGATTTTATATATCTTTGTTTGCATTTCATGGAATTTGGTTGTATTTGCATAATTAGAAATAATGTTAAATCATAATATTGTCAAAAAAAATGTCATTTTATTCATTGCATTTTTAGATTTTTAATTGCATATTTTAGGAATTAATTTAATATTACATTATTAAACGCATGATTAAAATACATAAAATCACAAATAAACGTTAGTCATCTTCGCATTTATTTTTTAATTTTTAGGTTCAATTAAATTAGTTAATTAGCTAGTCATTAGATAAAATAGATAACTAGATTAGTTATGCAAAATTGGGTCTAAATTAGAATTTCAAGTAGCTGGTTTTGAAAAGATAAAATGGCACTAGATGACAACACATAACAAGAATTGGCAATCTTTTAGCCTTATATTTGGTTTGGCAAAGACAGCCCGAAATAATTGACATTATATAGCCAAATCCTTAAAAAAATCATTTCTTATATATTCTCTCTCAAATAATTGGCCCCAAATTGTCTGCTTCCCCCTCTTCGCCGCTCACTTCTCTTCTTATTCACTACTTCCCTCCCCCTTTCTCTCCTTGTATTTCTTCTTCTATCTCTTCTCTTTCGCTCTCATAGTTTAGCAAACATTCTTGCAAATTATGCAAAAAACTCAATTGGATGAAAAGGTAAGGTTGATATCACATTAGAGAAAATCAAAAGCAAAAATTGAGACAGAAAAAATATATTTTAACTTTATTTTTCTTATCTCTTCTTTTTTTGATTGGATTAAACGAGTGAATGTGATTTAAATTGGTTGAAAATACCTAAACGAGGCTATATACAAAATTTGAGTAAGATTAGAAGTGATTTAGACTGGTTTCAGGTAAAAACATCAGACCTAAAAATCCAAATGCAAAATGTGTATATCACGTTATATATCGTGTACATCAGTGTATATCACACACATGTTTTAAGGACTTCTGGGTATATCACCTTGTATATCGTGTATACAACACAATTCGTTTTATGGACGCCCGTGTATATCATATTCTATATCGTATATATAATACAAATTTTTATGGATACACACAAATACACACGATATACAGTAGACATCACTGATGTACATAGAGATATACACGGGATACAATAGGGGATACACATGTTGAGTCGTCTTGAACTTGAGTTTTCAATCTGAAATGTGTTATACAAAAAAGAAAATTAAAATTTTAATATACTTTTTTGATATACATATTATTATTATGTTATACACTGTGATATACAAATAATATAATTGTTATTGTGTTATGTATATTTGGATATATAGATAAAAAAAACTATTAATTAAAAAATATTTGGGAGTGTTTTGGATACTACTGAAGGAAAATGAACCTAATTTCTAGGATGATGGTTTCTGAGAGAAGGAGGAGATGCGTTTAAATAGTTTTTGCTTTTTTTAAGGAAAATAATTTTGATGGTGCTTAATTTTAGGATGGTGGTTGAACCATTAAGAGGTTGTGACTTTGAGTCACCCCAAGAGCAAGGTGATGAGTTCTTGGAGGGAGGGAGCCGATGGTCTATCTGAAACAGCCTCTCTACCCCAGGTAGAGGTAAGGTCTGCATACACACTACCCTCCTCAGACCCCATTAATGGGATTATATTGGGTTGTTGTTGTTGTTGTGCTTGAACCATTAGAAGAGAGAGAATAACTTTAGGCTATCATATGCCAAATCCTAAAACGTTGGCTTTTTTATGCCAATTGTTAGACCTAGTTGTCATGCCATGCCAAATAATCTGATAAGAGAAGCTTCACATTCGAACTGGGCCAAACAAATCGGACGGCCCAGTTACCTTAATTCGGTTCATGCCTGTCCAAGCCCACACCTTCACCCGTCCAAATATCCCCCATAAGCCAAACGACACAGTATTGAATCAAGCTTAATCTCGGTCGTCTGTTGTTGTTTGATCCAACGGGCGATAACTGGCCATGCATTTTCTTAAAGGTGTCGGAACAGCCCCTACCCCCACCAAATTCCTCTCTCTCACACCCCATTTCCTCTCCACCCTTCCCCGCTGCGTACTGCCCTCCAAAAATCGCCTGCGGTGGCGGGCCACCTCCAAACCACCCCAAACCGTACAATCCCCAGCCCCTCCTCGGTCCAAATCCACGACCAGTTTCCCTCAAATCCGTCTCAAACAATTCGTTTAGTAGATCTAAGAAATCACATACCTAAATTCATCCCTTTTTTCAATTTTTCCTCAAATCTCGGACTGTTTGGGGTTAATACCAACATCAATAGACTACTCTCAATGAGAGTTGTCGATTGCTGGTAAGTTTATCTTGTTTCATGACCATCGGAATCTAGTCAAACTCCGGTTGACCGTCCAGTTCCCACCCATATCGCCATGGTGTCATTTTCTCCGGCTTAGCAAGGGATATTGTTGCATGCAACACTGGCCGGTGTGAAGCAACTCTGGTTAGTGCTTGTGTAACGATTCCTCCAACTTGCTAAAATTCTTTATCGATTCATTTTGAGTTCCAGCATGTATATTTTGTTCCTTACTTCTTCTATGTTTTTCCCTCATTCCCTTTCTTTTTTCTACTTGTTTGTCTCCAGTCATCGCTACTTAATTTAGCAGGAGCAAATAATTGATTATTTGATTCATATCTGTTTGAGTGTGATAAACTGTTAGCTATTGAATTTTTTATTATTGTTTGAGTAGTCACATGATTAGGTATCACTGAAACAATATTTAATTGCTTTAATTCCCTGTTAAATTGACAGTTTCTTTTGTTTTAGTGTTTGTATAATAATTTCGTACCCATATTATTCTTGAGGATCAATTAGTGAGTCACAGGCTTTCTAGGATTTGATTACCCTACTTTGGACTTAGGAGTGTAGTTTGTTTTAAGAATGAAGCCAGGTTCAGGCTCACATGATTTCTATAGAGTTGAAAGGTAAAAAGATAAGTAAAAGAAGGTCTGTAGTTCTGAGAGTAGAAAGTAACGGAGGTAAAAAAGGTATTAAGGGGATTAGACTTAGAGAATCTTTATAACTAACCCCTAGGAAGCTTCTAGGAAAGAAAAACCAGCAGGGGTCTGCTGGGGAGGGACTTGAAGAGTAAAAATAGAAAAGAAAAAAGGATTAAGAAGAAAAAGAAAAATCTGAAGAGCAGCTTGGAAAATCAGTTTAAATAAATGACCATCCTCACACTATAGGCATTCATACTCATTCACAATCTGGAGATTCACTCACACACATTCACCTAGCTGAAACAACTTTCAAAAGTTCAAAAATATTTCAAAAACCAGATATGAAAAGCCAAAAAATGGCTCAAAAAACAGAAGAAAATTAGCTTTCAAAAGAGATTTTTGAAGTTGTTTCCACTATTGTTGTTTGTTCTATACTTTCTGGTTTTAGAAAATAATTCAGACTCAAATCACTGTCCAATTCTGCTATTTATTGCTGGATCTGTAATGCAGAGCTTCAACTACCTGATCTCCTTACCTTTATTTGATTTTTCTCAGTTATAATTCATCACATTAGGTATTCCTTTAGGGTGTGTTTGGTATGCTGGAAAATATTTTTCCATTTTCTCATGTTTGGTTGGCACAAATAGTTTGAAAAATATTTTCCCAATCAACTTATTTTTCTTTAATTGGAAAAAATATTTTTACTAAAATTTGAAGGGAAAACATTTTCCTAAAAATAAAACGTGCGATTTGGCNCTGGTAAGTTTATCTTGTTTCATGACCATCGGAATCTAGTCAAACTCCGGTTGACCGTCCAGTTCCCACCCATATCACCATGGTGTCATTTTCTCCGGCTTAGCAAGGGATATTGTTGCATGCAACACTGGCCGGTGTGAAGCAACTCTGGTTAGTGCTTGTGTAACGATTCCTCCAACTTGCTAGAATTCTTTATCGATTCATTTTGAGTTCCAGCATGTATATTTTGTTCCTTACTTCTTCTATGTTTTTTCCTCATTCCCTTTCTTTTTTCTACTTGTTTGTCTCCAGTCATCGCTACTTAATTTAGCAGGAGCAAATAATTGATTATTTGATTCATATCTGTTTGAGTGTGATAAACTGTTAGCTATTGAATTTTTTATTATTGTTTGAGTAGTCACATGATTAGGTATCACTGAAACAATATTTAATTTCTTTAATTCCCTGTTAAATCGACAGTTTCTTTTGTTTTAGTGTTTGTATAATAATTTCGTACCCATATTATTCTTGAGGATCAATTAGTGAGTCACAGGCTTTCTAGGATTTGATTACCCTACTTTGGACTTAGGAGTGTAGTTTGTTTTAAGAATGAAGCCAGGTTCAGGCTCACATGATTTCTATAGAGTTGAAAGGTAAAAAGATAAGTAAAAGAAGGTCTGTAGTTCTGAGAGTAGAAAGTAACGGAGGTAAAAAAGGTATTAAGGGGATTAGACTTAGAGAATCTTTATAACTAACCCCTAGGAAGCTTCTAGGAAAGAAAAACCAGCAGGGGTCTGCTGGGGAGGGACTTGAAGAGTAAAAATAGAAAAGAAAAAAGGATTAAGAAGAAAAAGAAAAATCTGAAGAGCAGCTTGGAAAATCAGTTTAAATAAATGACCATCCTCACACTATAGGCATTCATACTCATTCACAATCTGGAGATTCACTCACACACATTCACCTAGCTGAAACAACTTTCAAAAGTTCAAAAATATTTCAAAAACCAGATATGAAAAGCCAAAAAATGGCTCAAAAAACAGAAGAAAATTAGCTTTCAAAAGAGATTTTTGAAGTTGTTTCCACTATTGTTGTTTGTTCTATACTTTCTGATTTTAGAAAATAATTCAGACTCAAATCACTGTCCAATTCTGCTGTTTATTGCTGGATCTGTGTTGCAGAGCTTCAACTACCTGATCTCCTTACCTTTATTTGGTTTTCTCAGTTATCATTCATCACATTAGGTATTCCTTTAGGGTGTGTTTGGTATGCTGGAAAATATTTTCCCATTTTCTCATGTTTGGTTGGCACAAATAGTTTGGAAAATATTTTTTCAATCAACTTATTTTTCTTTAATTGGGAAAAATATTTTTACTAAAATTTGAAGGGAAAACATTTTCCTAAAAATAAAACGTGCGATTTGGCTTCCCCACCCNCTCTTTAGTCTCGCGTTTTAAGATCCCCGCCATCGCACCAAAACGCCCAACTTGCTGTTTTCTCCAAGGTCGGAGACAAGTGCTTTGGATCTGGAGATCAGGAAATGTTCTAAAATCTCCTGCAATTTCGCTCTTGGGCTCTTGATTTTAGGTAACGCACGCCTCCCTTTCCTGCGTTTGCTTTAGGGTTTTAAACTTTTCTTCAATTCCTTCTGTTTTTGCTTGATGAACTGATAAATAATAGTCTAATGCTCTGCCTGATATCCATTGCAATACAAAAGATTAATTCATGAGTTCAAATTTTCAATATTTAGAATTCTAAAATATAATTCCTGACCTGAATGTAGTCAAAATTGGTACATCTTCAGTTAGTTTGGTTTATCTAAGTATTTAAAACTTTTGGTAACTGTTCTTCATGTTGGGATTTGATAGAGTTTGTGTGTTCATGATCCACTTTCTTGTTGTTTTTGCTGCTTAATATTAATTTCTGCATGATATCAAGTTCTATGTCCTCTTTTGTCTTTTAAGTTATGAAACAAAACAATGTAGTACTGGAAGTTAATGTTACCTATCAAAGCACACGTGTTGAACTTGAAAGCTTTTCTAGCTAGGATACTGACGATCAAGAAGATAATATATGATTCAAGTTCAATGAAATTTTAGCAATGTGGCTTCACTCGCAACTTGGAAATTTGATTGTTGTGTGGTCAGAGGAGCTTATATGTTGTTCATAGTTTCATGATATAACATAGATTAGATTTTTCAACAAATTATAGAGCATTGCAATGGTAGATGTTGCAGAAGGCATGTACTGGGACATCTAGAGATTGGAATAGTAAATGATTTCTTAAGTGCTCACCAGTAAAATTTTGTGGTTAATATGGGTTATATATAATCCAAAGTTGAGGTATTTAAGCAGGCAGGTTATAGGAGAAAGGCTGGTTGAATTTTGATGTATAGTAAAGGATCCATATGGAGGATATCTACTGAAAACGAGAAACCTGCATATTCTTATATCTTTGGGTTGTTTGAGTGATTTACTGGTTCCAAGTTCGATTTCTTTTAGGCTCTCTTTAATATTTTTATCAATCCATTTTTATGAGTAGAAGTTCTAAAGTTGGGTTGCAACAGATAGATTCGATTGAAAATGATGAAGATGATGCAATAGTTGGATCGGAAGCCACATATGTCTTAGCTGCCGGGGCTGTAATTATTTTAGCCTACGAAAATCAAAGTAACATTCCTAAGGCACCTTATACCAATAAAGACCAAGAGAGGGAATTTTAAATGAATAGTATTTTAAATGGAAGTATTGTTCATTGTGTAAGTCAGATAAGAATGAGCCAACCCGTATTTTTTGAATTGTGTAATGCTCTTAGAAGAAATAATTTCTTGAGATCAACCAAAAGTATGTTCGCGCAAGAACAAGTACTAATTTTCTTAGAAATTGTTGGTTTTAATCAACGATTTCGCAAGATAGGGTCGCATTTTTATAGGTCGATTGAATCTGTTCATCGATGTTTCCACACTGTACTTCAAGCAATTTTGAATCTCTATCCAACCCTTGTGAAATCACTGAATGATATTCAGTCGGAGATAAGGAACAACCATCGTTATTACCCTTGGTTTGTTGTGAGTAACATATTAAATATTAAGTTTTTAATTAATTTTGAATACTAGTATATATTATTAACTTTAGTTGTACATATAAGATTATGTAGGAGCAATAGATGGCACACATGTGCTTGCATCTGTTCCTATCGAACTCCAAAATAGGTGTCATGGCCGCAAAGGCACAACACAAAATGTCATGGCTGCTGTCAGCTTTAATTTGAAGTTCACATATGTGGTTGCTGGCTGGGAAGGATCTGCTCATGACTCACGCATATTAAATGATGCATTGGAGAGCATTTTCGTGTGATTGATAATGAACCCTTTTGGGACTTTAAAACACAAGTGGATGTGGTGTTAGCATCGTGCATTTTACATAATCACATAACAGATTTGGAGCCAAATGACCCAATAATACAAGAAGTAGAGGGGCAACCACTAGTTCAAACACAAAATGCTCAAAGTACTCAAAGTTCTCTAGGGAATCAAACCTATCAGACACCTAGAGAAAGACGTGAAGAAGCTAGGGAATGGTCGTTGAAAAGAGATGCCATTGCTCATGCCATGTTTACAAATTATGATCGGAGGAGGAATAGATGAATATAATCTATCAAGAAACAGTTTTTTATTTAGTCATCTTGGTTTTAGTTGTTTGTGTTTAATTGTTTATGTTTTCATATACTCTTATGTACATTGACTTTATATTTTATATGATTTTGTTGTCCTGTCTCTATTTATCTTAAATTTCATGTTTGACATATTTCCTATAACAGTTAACAATTGTAAAAAAAAAAAAGAGATAAACAGTTTAGGTGAACAAAACCAAATGGAATATTTGATGTTGGAAATCCTAGCTAATGAAGTGAAGCAGGGGAATAAATCAACTAATCAGTTTAAGGCCATATCATTCAATCGTGTTTCGGATGCCATTAAGCAACAACTAGGAATGGAGGAGTGTTCACTTAAGCATGTGGAGAATCATCTTAAAACACTAAGAAGCACATGGAATATAGTGCAAACTCTTCTAAACAAAAGTGGTCTTGGATGGGATGATAACCTGAATATAATTACTGCTAGTCCTAGAGTTTATGCTTTCCACGCTCAGGTAAAATGTTTTCACATATGTAATGTCAAAGGCAAATGTGCCAAATTTGAATATGGTTCTAAAATTTTTCCTGACATTTTATTTGATTCTGTTGACTGCTAGATTCTGCAAATTCTTTTTTTTGAGTTATTATATTTTTTCATTTACATGGATTTTCCTGTTATTTTGTATGGGAAACTTTTGATTCTAGTATTAGCAGAATTAGCTCTTAATTTAGAGCTCATACTTTGATAAGTTGTTACTTCATTATGCATTAACCAGCCTCTGTATTGTCGTTTCGATCTTAGGATATATCTTTTAGGATTGTGTTATACTGCTAAAGATAACTGATAAAAGCTAATGCAAATGATTGTCAGAGCAATGCTCTGGGACATACATAAGGGAGAAGCAGTAGCTGAGTAAAGTGTGCTTTTCTCTTCCAAGGGGAAAATATTGCAACTTTCTCTTTTCTCTTGAAATTGTCATATGCGAGCGATGTAATATTCAATTATTTTCCGTGAACTCACTGAATATGCACCCGTTTCTTATACCTTTTGCTTTGTCGTTGTATTATAGGCCCATCCTACTCATGAGAAGTTCATTAACAAAAAGATTGAAGTGTTTGAAGAAATGTCCCTCGTGTATGGGAACGATCGAGCTAGGGGTGATTGTGCTAAGTCGCTTGATGATATAGGCTTGAATTGTAGTTCTGAGAAAGCTAATGATAATGACATTGAAGGGCCATCTAAGGAAAACGATGTGCAAGATGTAGTAAGTGAAACTTCTCAAGCCAAAGCAAGTCGCAAACGAAGTCGTTCTTCTGATGTGCAAGATGTGGTCAGTGATATATCAACAAAGCTTAGAGAAGTGGCAGTAACAATCGGTAAAATAGCTGATAGTCGACTAGATGTGACAAGATTGTACGAAGAAATTATGGCAACTGAAGGTTATAAAGAAAAGTTCTTTTTTTTTTATGAAGTAATTAATTTCATTGATGGCATCAGGAAGATGCATAATAGTTACAAAAGAGTTACAACAAAAAGGAATAATGTCAGCTCTAATACAGATGTTCAGACTAATACTAAGGAGCTAACAAAATTCAAATAACTATCAGTGGAATCTATGGGGGATAAATAAACCCAAGTGAATAAAAACATAATACAATTAGCTTTGAGAGATTGGAAAGTAGTTGATAGTCCGTCAAAACATCGGCTATTCCTTTCCTTCCGGGTACTCCAAAAGATAGCAGCAAGAACCATCTTCCAGACTTTCTTGATAGTGCTGTAAACTTTCCAAAAGCTCCAACTCTCAAAAGCCTCCCTAATGTTATGTGGCATGACCCATGTGAGTTCAAAAAGAGAAATAAACATATTCCAGAGATCTGCTGCAACTGAGCAGTGTAGGAATAGATGGTTATATGATTCTGCCTCTCTCTGGCACATGTAACATCTATTGACAATCTGAAAATTTTTTCTGACTAAGTTGTTCTGTGTTAGACAAGATCCATGGAGAGCAGTCCAGTTGAAACACGCAACTTTAGGTGGCAGTTTAACTTTCCATATTAGTTTCCAAGGCCAGTGGTCGGTGATTGCATTTTGAGCTTCTGATAACTTGTGGGCTGCTTGCACGGAGTACCTTCCTACATGTGCATTCCCCCATCTGAACCGGTTTGGTACTAGGTTGTTACTGGAGTAGCCATTTAGTGTGGCTAATAGTCTAACTAGCTCTTCAAATTTCCAATCTTGCAAGTTCCTTCTGCATAGTATGTTCCAACTGTCGCCCTCCCTCCACTGCAAGATTGTTGAATCTGGATCTCTGGCTATTTGAAATATTGCAGGGTAATCATTCATCAAAGCAATGCTTCCTAACCACTTGTCCTTCCAAAACTTGGTATGTTGACCATTCCCTACTACAAAATGTTTGTTCACTGAGAATTCTTCCCATAGCTTACAAATGTTCTTCCAGACTCCAATTCCATGGAGTGCTCTTGATAATTTAGTGCACCAATGATTCAGGACTCCATGTTTGGCGTTGAAAACTTCCTTCCAAAGACATTGTTCCTCCTGTGTGTACCTCCATAGTCATTTCATTAACAAGCATTTGTTATGAAGGACTAAGTTTTTTATACCTAATCCGCCTTGGTGCTTTGGTAATTGAACCTTAGACCACTTGACTAGATGAAATTTGTGATCCTTGTTATTCCCTTCCCACAGAAACTTCCTTCTGATCTTGTCAAGTTGTTTCAGGACCCTACTACTCATCGGATATAGTGACATATAGTAAGTGGAGATGCTATCAAGGACACTATTGATCAGGGTCAATCTTCCACCCATTGATATATATTGCAATTGCCATGATGCTAGCCTTTTTTCAAACTTTTCAATTACCCCATTCCATATAGCTTCTGATTTAAATTTGGCCCCCAGTGGAAGCCCCAGATAGGTAGTTGGGAAAGTCCCTATGCTACAACCCAGTTCCTTCCAATTCTTAGGTGAAACTTTTGATTATTTGGTGCAAAGTGACATGTTAGCTAAGGTATTCATGGCAAGAAATCAAAATCTCCGTAAGATTTGGCTGGAAAGATTCAAGCGACAACACTAAAATACACAAATGGGGTTGGAAGAACAAAAGTAGAATAGGAAGCAATTGTCATAGAAAGATATTTTGTTGCTTGTCCAATATGGTCTGTCATACTTCTGTGATGGTTTTTCTCATGTCTACTTGCTTCTTGAGTACTCCTATACAGAGAATGGTTATTATGGAGTTGCTCATATTTCTTCTTTTTTATGTGTGTATGAGACGTTTATCATTGTTAGCCTGAATCTTATATGTTGCGAGAGGTTATATAATAGAAATATTGTTTTAGTGACTACAAAATTATTCTTGTTATGGGGTTGAGGTCTATTATTGAGGTTTATTAACAAAATGAGTATTTTCTTTTCATGTTGTAGAAATAGAATTTTTATTTTGTTTTAACAAATAAAAAAGTATTTTCTTTTCAGTTATGGAACTCAAATTTTAACGTTCTTGTGTGAAAAAGTAAATCAACATATTAGTTCCTTTGGGTTTATTAGAATTTATGAGAAGAATAATTGAATTCTTGAAAGAAAATAGAGTTGTGGAAACGTTGAGTAATAATGGTGGGGGGAGAGCACATGAAACATAGGAAATGGGGGAAGGGTGGGGGTGAGGAGGGTAGCATAGAAAACTAATTTCCTATAAAAGATTTTCTATTTTCTAACAAAACACTAGAAAATATTTTCCTGAAAAAGTTTTCCACTCATCAACCAAACATGAGAAAATAAGTGATAACACCATTCATTTTCCAGGAAAATATTTTCCAAGGAAAACATTTTCCTTCGTAACAACCACACCATTAATCTCTGCTATATACATAATGTTCATAGAATTTTGAATGCTTTGTTTGATTGTAATGATGTGTTTAATTCCAATGTGAAATTTAATTAATCCTTTAGTGCACGAGTCTAACTATTTCGGTATGATTTTAATATACGTCATGAAAAACATTGAGTGTTCAGTATGATTCAGAATTTGTTAACATGAATAATCTATGCGTGAAATTATGTAATCAACTTATAATTTGGAGGTTGTTTGTGATTTATAATGGGTTAATCTGATCAGGTGGTTGGCAATAATAGCCCCCTGGCTATTTGTTGCAAAACCATGAGCAAGCTGCAAGCCTGAAGAAACGAGTGGCCAGTGGACAAAAATGCTCCATGTGAACTATCCATATGTAATTCAGCTATGATAAGCAATTTCATGTAGTTCATGTTATTGTATTTTAAAGGGAATATTTCATAACTAAAAGCTCTAAGAGATCAATTAACATTAATTGCAATCAATTTCATTATTACATTTAGTACAACAAATGCGAGAAAGGAATCTACTCTGTCCATGCGAAAATCAAGAAGTTAATGTATACGGTCGAAATAGATTTCGGTCTTCCTATGTTCGATCGAGTTCGAATGGTAAGCAACCGGAGTGGGATTTTGGGATGAGTTTCGAAGGCAGTACAAACGAGCCTCGAGTCCGAAGGCTAATCGAGGAGTCGGCTCGATACTTTTATCGAGCCCGTGACCAAATCGATCTGCAAGGCATTGCTTAGAGGTCAGAAATGCGCTACGCCCACCCCGGAGGTCGAACTCAAGCCAAAACCGAGGGCTCGACCCAATAAGGAGTTCGAGCTAGTGTCGAGCTCACAGACAAGAGCCGTTACAACCGCACTAAGAGATAGAATCTTGGCGGGAATCGAGAAAGAGACAATTTATCATGGGTCCTCCACTATATGATTTATTTTATTGTAAATAAAGTAGGATCCCTCTATTATAAAAGGGGGAATCCTTGTAAGCATACGACACCGAGAATAGACTGTAATAAAAGATCACTTCTCATATTGGAAGATATCTCCTCATGCTTGTTTTATTTTACCTTATTCATTCTTTTGCTCACTATTCCTATTCTCATAGTCAAGAATACACATATTTCTATTTCTCTATACGATTTGTATCAAATTGTATCACATATCCTTAGAACCATACACAAATTTAATGTTATCTAATTTTTCGGGTAAACAGTTTGGCGTCCACTGTGGGGCTAAGGATAACAGTGATTGTTTGATATAAATCTGCAGTACACACCAGTTTACAACTTCAAATCAGCAATGGCTTTACCTATCGACCATGAAGCCGGCCTTCAAGATGAAACCAACAACTTGGTACCCGAGGCCGGAAGGCCGCTTGACGACGACACTGAGGCTCGAATCGAAGTACCCGAAATTCGAGCCGAAGTACCGTTAGATGTCAATTCGCGAGTGGCTCTTGAGGCGAACCAACATTCCGAACCAGAAAAAAAGCATTCAGGGCGGTACTCGATCTGTAGCTCTAGACACCCATAATGTGGGGGAAATCGGAGTCAGCTTGCGCATGATCTTCGAGATGTTACAAGCCCAACAAGTAGCGATAGCTCAGATGTAGAGCCAAACTCATCTACAAAGCAGGCCAGATCCCAATCCGCTTCGATAAATCACCCCCCAAACGGAGCCCGCCATAGTAAAATCAAACGAGCAAGAATCGGGGACCACTCCCGAAATTACTAAACTGCTCGAGGAACTCACAAAACGAGTCGAAGCCAACGACAAGAGAGTGGAAACATACAATATCAGGGTCGATCAGATCCCCGGAGCTCCACCAATGATAAAAGGGCTGGATTCGAAAAAATTCATACAAAAGCCTTTTCCCTCGAGTGCGGTCCCAAAACCAATCCCCAAAAAATTCCGTATGCCCGAAATTCCCAAATATAACGGTACGACCGATCCTAACGAACACGTCTCCTCTTACACATGTGCCTTCAACGGTAACGATTTGGAGGACGATGAGATCGAATCCGTATTGTTAAAAAGGTTCGGGGAGACCCTCTCGAAGGGAGCGGTGATTTGGTATCACAATCTGCCGCCAAATTCTATCGATTCTTTTGCCATGTTAGCAGATTCGTTCGTAAAGGCACACGCTGGTGCCATAAAGGTTGCAACAAGGAAATCAGACCTCTTCAAAGTAAAGCAAAGGGGTAATGAAATGCTGAGGGAATTCGTATCCCGATTTCAAATGGAACGCATGGAATTGCCACCGGTCACAGACGATTGGGCCGTCCAAGCTTTCACCCAAGGGTTGAATGAGCAAAGTTCGATAGCATCGCGTCGACTGAAGAAAAATTTAATTGAGTATCCAGCAATAACTTTGGCAGATATACACAACCGATATCAGTCAAAAATTAGGGTCGAAGATGACCGGTTGGGAGCTTCGTCTGGATCCATGCATCAGAACAGGACAGCTACTAAAAACCAAAGGGAGATCGACAGAGAACAAAGGTCGAACAGAGACCGATATCAATCGTACGTCGCAGATCGGATGAACAACGGTTCAACATGCAACACCGCTCGGAACAATCGAAGGATTGATCGAGGGAAGAATTCTCGAGGAATTATGAGCAAGAACGGCTTTGATAAATATGTCGATCCTATAGAAGCACCTCGGTTATCGGAATATAACTTCAGCATTAATGCATCCGCCATCGTGTCTGCTATCGGACGCATCAAAGAAACTAGATGGCCTCGACCCATGC